GAATGCTTGACCTCAAATACAAGATCCAGTAAAAAGAGACAGAGCTGACATGAATCAGGCGAGAAAAAAGGCTGGATTTCCCCCATAGGCCGAGTCTCAGAAGACTGAATATCTAAGCAGCTCAGGTAGAAGATGACAATACAAGTAAATTGGCTTCCATGTAATAATGAAAAAACAAAAGTTGGCAAGAGCCCACTGATGAAAAACCAAAGGTTTTATTAGCTACCAGTAAGTGCACTGTTAGGTATAAGTGATGTTGAGTGTTAAAATCTTAGAGTAAGATGTCTAAACCCTGTTTACCATTTAGGGAGATAATACTGGATACTCTGCTAGGCCAGATGCCCCTGTCTTTGAGTGGGTAAAGCAGCCTGTCTGAGATTGAGACTATGATTAGATTCGATTAGATTTAACTATGACTAGATTCTGCTGCTCAATATCTGGCCCATGCTGACTTTTTAAACTGTAGGATAATTTTTGGAGATTAGCAAATAAAATGCAATAAGAAATCACCCAAAATTCCACTCCCAGAGATGGTCACTATTAACATTTTGGTCTTATACTACATTTTAGTATATACATGTATGTGTGGGTACATATATACATATGTACCATACTGTACATACTGCATGACTTTCAGGCAAGTTATTTAGCCCTCCTAAACCTGATTTTACTCATCTGCCAATGGAAGACAATAATAATATACTTTATAAAGTGATTGAGAAGATTAAATAGCTAACATTTGATTGTGAAATAAATATATATAACCTTTTCATTTATCAATGAAAATGAGTGTTTTCTGTTATTAGATAGTTCATTCTTCAAGAATTCTTTTTTTAGGTGAAAATAAATTCTGTTCTATTATGTACCATAACTTATTCCATTAATCCCATTTTGTTAAATACTTAGGCAATTTACTATGTTCATTATTATAAATTCTGTAAGGAATTCTCTATGTACATACATGTTAATTCTCTTGGGAAAAGGTTTTGACTTGTCTTGACACATTTATCTCCAGAAAGACTGAGCCAATTTTCATTCTCACCAGCATTTCCTTATGGTACTTCCTGGAAATTATTTTTAAGCATTGCAAATTTGTTGTCCAAAAAAATATATATATATTATTGTGCTTTTACTTCTTGTTCTGAATTTCTTGAATGAAAATATCTGAATGAATTTGGCTATATATATATATATAAATAATATATATACACTAGTGAAAGGCATATTTAAAATTTAATGTAAAAAGCCAAGGCAGCAGAACTGTATTTATATTTCAATTACATATATTTTCAGTATTTGTTATTAATTAACCTACTGAAGAAAAATTACACCCTTGTACTTAATATAAAAATTAAATTGGTCAAGAGTCAACAAATATTTACTCAACATCTGCTATGTAACATCTAACATAATATGAGAAACAAAAGTATTTTATTTAATGTGTATTTTTTTCCCTAAAAATAATTAAGGTAACTTAATAACATACAAAAGAAAAACCATATTTTAAGACCCTTCTCCCCAGAAGTTGGCATGTAGTTGATTCAACCCTCAGTTCTTGGTTTTGAAATATTTGGTAGCTCTCTGAAGGATTAGCAAAGAGAAAATTTTTCCCAGATTTTCTTTGAAATTGTGAAAAGATACAAAAATGTAAGCTACTGACATGTTACCTTAAAGAGCACTGACCTTGATGACAAAAACGAAGTCCCAGCCAATCTGTCAACTAGCTGTTTAAATGCAGACAAGCTGTGCCTTTCTGAGCCATAATTTTCTCATCTGTAAAGGGAAGAGGAAACAAGTATTTACTGAATACCTGCACTATGTGCTTTTGCTAACATAAACGGAATAAATAACCTAAAGTTTTATTATAAGGACTGAAAAAATAAAAGGATATTGTAACAGCAAATGTTATACCAATGTTATTGTTACTGTGATTTTTTATATTAATAGCAACTGTAAAAATAGAAAAGTACTGAAAGCAAGGACTTCTGATGTGTTTATGGTACAACATCATAGATTATTTGAATGAGCTCTGCTTTTCTACAGAGTTATGCAGCTTGCAGGGATGTCTAAGCAAGTGATGTAAAGGAAATGAAAGTCTTTTTCCCCCCAACCCTAAAATTTTCTACAGTATAACACAGTGAAGGAAGGATAGTCTTAACAAACAAATTCAAATAGAAAATTTAAATCACAAAACTTCATTTTCTCAGTTTAAAATGCACAAATTGGGACCTCATAAAATTATCTGCTCTAGGACTCAATTTGGTTCAAGATGAATTGGCTCTTTACCCTTTAGTTTCTAGGATTATTTATATTCTAGATCTATGTCATATAATTCCTTCCTTATTAATAGTGAAAGGTTACAAATGTGTAAAGTGTGGCTATTATTAAGTTACTTATATTAAGAACTTAATTTTCATCTTGCAGGCCAGTGCCAAAGATACAGGATGTATGCATGCAGCAATACATCACCGTCTTGTTGCACTTCGAAGCTTCTATAAGCAGAAAGATGCAAATCAAGCTGAAAGCCAGTCAGAAACAGTCCTCCAACAATTTAACTGTGATAGCTGTGATGAGGATGAGGATGAGAATGATTTTATCCAAGTCACTAAAACTAGATCAGGTAAAGAACGTTTTTTTGTTAGTTCAGAGGTTTAAGAAAGAAATCTTATTCACAACCCTTTTATATGAAACAGATTTTTAAAAAGTGGAACCTGGGCTTCCCTGGTGGCGCAGTGGTTGGGAGTCCGCCTGCCAATGCAGGCGGATCGGCTGGGCCCGTGAGCCAGGGCCGCTGAGCCTGCGCGTCCGGAGCCTGTGCTCGGCGGCGGGAGGGGCCGCGGCAGTGGGAGGCCCACGTCACGGAAAAAAAAAAGTGGAACTTGTCTGTTCAAAGTGGGCAGGGGTTACAGCCCTAGATGTTTGCATCTGAGAGGTGGGTTTGAAAATCACTGTCTTCTGCATGTGGCCTTCATTGGGATTTCACCAAAAGTCAGCCTTATTGTAATACCTGCACATCATTTGCGTATACATTTCATAAAAGACCATATTTACAATGTAAAGTATTAATTGCTACACTGAAACTAACCAATTATTAATATTTCTCTTCACTTGTTGTCATTCTCCTATTATTGGCCATAATAGAAGAAATTATAAATACTAGTAATGGAACCAGCAGGCAAATCTGGCTTATTCCCTTTTTGGAATTTGACTGTTTTATTTTCAAAGACCTTCTTTACCTGGGGCAAAAGGCGCTATTTCTTTTATTACATCCGGATTCATGAATTGAACAAGGTTGCAGTGGAACCACTGGTTAATGGATTTCTAGGTTTTAGTGCTTGTCCTGATGAGGGAATTTAGAACTAAAATTCATCATTATTTTTGGAGAAAACCATTGTCAAGGAAATAATAAGCCCAGCTTTGTGGGTTTTTAAAATAATTTTTATTGGAGTATCATTGCTTTACAATGTTGTGTTAGTTTCTACTGTACAGCAAAGTGAATCAGCTATAGGTATACATATATCCCCTCTTTTTTGGATTTCCTTCCCATTTAGGTCACTACGGAGCACTAAGTAGAGTTCCCTGAGCTATACAGGTTTTCGTTAGTTATCTATTTTATACATAGTATCAATAGTGTATATATGTCAATCCCAATCTCCCAATTCATCCCACCCCCCTTTCCCCCCTTGGTGTCCATACATTTGTTCTCTACATCTGTGTCTCTATTTCTGTTTTGCAAGTAAGATCATCTATACCATTTTTATAGATTCCACATATATGTGTTAATATACGATATTTGTTTTTCTCTTTCTGACTTAACTTCACTCTGTATGACAGTCTCTAGCTCCAGCCACATCTCTGCAAATGACCCAATTTTGTTCCTTTTTATGGCTGAGTAATCCAGCTTTTTCATACAGATGTAGCTATTCCAATAAGTCGCCCAAGTATTTTCAGTAATATTTTCATTTAGCCCTGAATTCTGCTCTACGGAGGACTGACAAAGGACTTACAAAAATTGTGTGTTAGCAGGCATTTTCCCAATTTTTAATCATTTTAAATCTTAAAGCTATTTTAATCATACATAATTTAAGAATCTATCAAACAACATGTGCAGAACTTGATGAAATAGCTTCCTTGGCCTAATACTAAAAATGTAGTCAAGAGGAAAAATGCACAAAACATTCAGAGCAGGATCATAAACTGCTAGACTCAGTGAGCCAGAGAACTAAGCGAATATGATTTTTCTTGTTACTATTTAACAAGAGGTTTAATTGTTTTTTAATGTATGAAATGTATAAATAAAAATTATTATAATGTTTATATTGTCACAATAAAATGGGATCTATTAGAAAATGGGTTGGTATCCATTAAAAATGTTAACTTGCAGTTAGGATTAAATGGCAAAATTATTTCATCAACAAATGACACGTTTATGAATAGAATCTATATTCTACCATATTCCATTTTAGGAAAGTGGTGATATGCAACTATCTTCATACAAAATGAGAAACAATGGAAATGAGGCCGAGTAAATGCCAATCATATGAACCCATCCTCTCCCCTCCTTACTTAGTACTTTCTCTAGGAAGTGTTGCACACAAATGCTAAATGTTATGGAAGCAAAAAAATGTCTGACTTTTTAAACTTTGTTGCCCAGGAATTAAGGAAAGGTTTAATTATCTGCAAATGTCACATTTAAAATTAGGAACATTTCCAAACGTTACTTAAAAATATGCAGATTCTATATATATTTTATTTCCTTGCTAGTAAGCATATTCACGAGTATTCATGTTCAGTTGTATTCGATATTAAACCTAACTGAATACAATATTGTACAATAACTTATTTTAAATTTGTATCATAGATTCTTCTAGGTGGACCCACAGACAGTCGGTTGCCTGTTCATGAGTGCTACCTGCTATAAACATGACAACATCTACAAAAAGATCACCTTACTGAAAAAATCTAAGCCATCCTAATAACTAAATGAGAAGATCCTATTCATTCCTGGAACAGTTTTTATAGAAAGGTCCAAGAAATATAATTTGTTGCAATTAAAATGTTTCTCTGTGTAGTATAATAATTCTGAGGTTTTATATTTTGATTATTGTGGAGAAAATGGCAGAATTTAAGAAACACATGGCCTTTGGAAGTTCAAAATTTTTCATTTTTGAAGAAGTTAATTTAGAATAAGATTTGGTAACTAATTTGGACTATTCATCACACTGACGGATACAATAGTTAAAATTATAAATTGCTGGATTTGATAAATATCTAAGATATTTATTTTTTCAGTCATATATTATCTGGCCATAAAACAAATATTTTACAAAACTTCCAGAGTCATTTCTTTGAAAAATGTTATAACTGCATGTTAACATGTTATTAAATCATGTTTTTCTTCTGGGAAATGTGTATTTTCATTTAACCTTTGGACTTCCTAATTCTATAATATTATATATTCATGGTATGAATTCCTTTAAAGAGAATATCTGTTCTTGCACTTGTATCTATCGCACCTTCTATATGCTTGACTCACGGTCAGTATCCAATATTTGTTGAAGGAATGAACAAAATACATTACCTATGTATCAAAACAGTAACTATACAAAAAGTGAAATATGTTAACTTGTTCTTTGCTTTATTTATGTAATTAAATTGTCATTAATATTCTAGTAGGTGAGGCTGTACAGAGACCTTTTATAGCCAAATGACTTTTTTTCTTAAATGCCATTATTAAGGTAAAACACAGTAATTTCAACAATTGTGCAACAGAATTTTGACGTTCCTCTTTTGAGATTTGTTTCAGAGACACTTCAGGAGTTACACAAGTAGGGGCCACCACCTCACTGTGTGCTCACATGACCTCTTTCTTGTGGGAGCACGGGGAGGTGGTAGGGAGAAAAAGACGGCAGGTTCTCTGGTGTCTCTTTTTATAAGGACATTAATCCCATCAGACCAGGGCCCTCCTAACCTCATCTAGCCCTAATCACCTCCCAAAGCCCCATCTCCAAACACCATCACATTGTGGGGTAGACTTCAACATATGAATTTTGGGAGAACATAAACATTCAGTCCATAATGAGGAATAATTCACAGTACAAAATGATTTCTGAAAACGTTCTGAACAGTGACAACATATTTGGGATAAGAGTATAGCTTCATTTCTACTTTGAAGAACAATATTCACATGGAAGTATACATGTGAATACATATTTTTAAAAAGTTATGTTACTTTATTATAGTATATACCATAGATAATAGTAAAAGCAATTATATATATGCATTTATTGTCAAATCTAATGCTTGAAAGTTTAGCATATGAAAGTTGAATTACTCTTTTAGACTATAATTTAGCTAGTATGTTATAACTGATGAAAGTTTTGCTTTCCCTATCACTAACTATAACTTAGTAAAATTTAGCTACTGAGTATTTAACTTTCATTAATTCTTCTAGTGACTCCAGAAGAAATACAGTAAATAAAATCCTTTACTTCTAAATTAAGCAATGACTCAGGAAGTGGAGAAGAAAAGTTAATGTAAGAGAGGAAGAGAGAAAAGGTTGAGAGAAGGAAAAAAAAAAAAACAGTAAAGAAGAGTTCTAACATGAAAGGAAGAATAAAAGGAATGGAAAATCAGAAGTTTTAAGTGTTTTCTTTTTAATTCTAAAAGAGCGACTCTGATGCAGAACAAACTCGGAGGAAAATTTTCATTAGAAGCATAATATAAACAGGGAGATATCTGGAGAAGATATTAAAGAATTGGTTCTCTTATAAGATCTTAGCTGATACGGGAACATTGGGATTATGCTAAATTGCTAAAGTAAAGCAGAGAAACAGAGATTTTCCTTATCTTCCTGACATATTCATTCTTGACCCCTCTTTAGTTGTGGAGATGAATTTTCTCAATGCCTCATTTTATTTAGGGATTATGACATGGCTAATAACAGCAGAAACATGATATTTAGCTCATGACTTTCAACCCATTTCCACTCTGCTATTCCTTCTTATACTCTTTATGCATATATTTAGTAATATTTTGGGGGGTAATAGAAATAGAAACATCTTATAGCTTCTCCTTGTCCTTTATCTTCATCTAGCCTTCTCCTTTTGGGCTTTTCTATATCCTTTGCCCCCCCTTTAGTGTGAAGTGATCCATCATATAATGACATTCATTTTCACAAGTTACTAGGTGGGTGATTTCAAACAATACCTCTTCTTCCATAGAAGCTGATTTTAAATAAATATATTTATTTATTTATGTTTGGTTGCATCGGGTCTTCGTTGCTGCGCGCCCGCTTTCTCTAGTTGCGCGAGCAGGGGCTACTTTCCGTTGCAGTGTGTGGGCTTCTCATTGTGGTGGCTTCTCTTGTTGCAGAGCTCAGGCTCTAGGCGCACGGGCTTCAGTAGTTGTGGCACATGAGCTCAGTAGTTGTGGCTCGCGGGCTCTAGAGCGCAGACTCAGTAGTTGTGGCGCATGGGCTTAGTTGCTCCACGGCATGTGGGATCTTCCCAGACCAGGGCTCAAACCCGTGTCCCCTGCATTGGCAGGCAGATTCTTAACCACTGTGCCACCAGGGAAGTCCCAGAAGCTGCTTTTATTAAAAGTTACTTAGATAAATATTCCCCAATACACAAGATATATTTAATATGATATCCGATTATATATTATGATAATCTAAACATTCTTTTCTATCAACAGTACTTTTATACCAAGTTATTCAGCTTAATTGTAAACTAGCAAAATGTTCTCTCTTAAAATATTTTACATCCATTACTGCCAAAGCCAGGAACCCTTAGTTGTCAGGGCCTAATATCCTATACAGGCCTTAGAGTACATGCATGTCATTTTTCAAAAAGCCAGGGTGGGTGGGGCTTCCCGGTCCGGGAAATTCCCGCATGCCGCGGAGCGGCTGCTTCCCTGAGCCATGGCCGCTGAGTCTGCGCGTCTGGAGCCTGTGCTCCGCAATGGGAGAGGCCACAACAGTGAGAGGACCGCGTACC